GTAGTCTTCTTTTCACAAAAAAAAAGGTAAAATATGTTTAATATGGTAAATTTTTGTAGCACATAGCTGATTTTATGTAACTGTCATAATTCCCGTTTTTTTTAAACCAGCTGTAATTTTGCAATTAGGCTCCGCCTCTCGGTCTGACAACGAATAAAAAAATCATCACAATTGAGACAGGACGGGTGGGTGGGGCTTCTCTTTTGGTTTTCTTTTTTAATTAATACATTTAGTTATCTTTGTATTACTTAAGAACATATTTCACATAATAATTTCTTGTAGACAAATAAAGATTTTCCAATTAACCTCCGCCCCTCGGCTTACGACGAATAAAAAAAATCATCAGAATTGAGAGAGGGCGGGTGGGCGGGGCTTATATTTTGCTTTTTTTTATTAATCATACATAGCCATCTTTTCAGTACAAAGAACTTAAAACAAGGTTAAAATGGTACATTTTTGGAAGGAAATATGAATTTTGCAATAATGGGGCGGAGCCTAATTACAAAATCGATATTTCCTTATTCAAATTTTTCATTTTAAACATATTTTAAGTTTCATATTGAGAAAATGTAAACCCGCGCACCCACCCTATCTCAATTGTAATGTTTTTTCTTTAATCACCGTTCACCAAGGGAGCGAAGTTTAACTGCAAAATACTTATTTCCTTACAAAAAATAAAAAAAAGATTTTTGAGAACCAGCTTGTTCAAAGAATACTATGTATACTAAGAAAAAAAACCCGCCCACCCACCCCATCTCAATTGTGATTTTTTTTTTATTGTAAGAATCTTAAAACACATTTAGACTGGTACATTTTTCTAAGGAAATATGGATTTTACAATTGGGCTCCGCCCCTCGGTTGCCAACGAATGAAAATTTCATTACTATTTAGATCAGGTCATATATGGGTGGGGCTTAATCTTTGGCTTTAGTTTTTTCTTAATATACATAGCCTTCTTTAAATAACACTCTACTCACTCAGAAATCTGTCGTTCAGGGTAATTTCTTGTAGAGAATTAATAAGGATGTTGCATTTAAATTTCGCTCCTTAGGCTGTCAACAATTAAAAAAAATCATCACACTACAGGGTGGGCGGGCTTCTATTTTGCCTTTTTTCTTTTCAGAACAAGAAACTTAAAACATGTTTAAAATGGTAAGTTCTTGTAAAGAAATCTGGATCTTGCAATTAAGCCCCGCCCCTCGGTCTGACAACGAATGAAAAATTCATCACAATTGAGACAGGGTGGGTGGGCGGGGCTTCTCTTTTGGTTTTCTTTTTTAATTAATACATTTGTGTTTTCTTTGTATAACACGATTATCAAGAACATATTTCATATGGTAACTTCTCGTAGAAAAATAAGGATTTAACAAAGAGGCTTAGGATGAATAAAAAAAACCATCAGAATTGAGATAAGGCGAGTGGCCGGAGCTTACATTTTTCCTTTTTTTTTTTTCAATATACATAGCCATCTTTTCACTACAAAAAACTTAAAATATGGTTAAAATGGTATATTTTTGCAAGGAAATATGGATTTTGCAATTATGGGGCGGAGCCTAATTACAGAATTGATATTTGTTTATACAAATTTTTCATTTTAAACATGTTTTAAGTTTCATGTTGTGAAAAGAAATCTACATATATTAAAACAAAAAGGCAAAATGAAAGCCCGCCCACCCGCCCTATCTCAATTGTGATGATTTTTTTTATTCGCCGCTTACCATGGGGGCGGAGGTTAACTGCAAAATAGTTATTTCTGTACAAGAAATTAAAAACATGGTTTTGAGTATCGGCTTGTTCAGAGAATACTATGTATACTAAGAAAAAAGCCAAAATATTTACCCCACCCACCCACTCCATCTCAATTGTGTAGATATATATTAAAACAAAAAGTCAAAATGTAAGCCCGCCCACCCGCCCTATCGCAATTGTGATGAGTTTTTTTATTCGCCGTTCACCAAGGGGGCGGAACTTAATTGCAAATATTTATTTCTTTACAAAAAATTAAAAACATGTTTTTCAATATCGGCTTGTTCACAGAATACTATGTATACTAAGAAAAAAAGCCAAAATATAAATAACGCCCACCCACCCGATCTCAATTGTAATGATTTTTTTATTCCTACAAACTTAAAACATGTTTAGAATGGTACATTTCTGTAATAAAATACGGATTTCGCAATTAGGCTCCGCCCCTCGGTCTACCAACAAATGAAAACTGATATGGGTGGGGCTTAATCTTTAGCTTTAATTTTTTCGTAATATGCATAGTATTCTTTGAATAACACTGTATTCAGAAACCTGTCGTTCAGGGTAATTTCTTGTAGAGAAATAATAAGGATATTGCATTTAAATTTCGCTCCTTAGGCTGTCAACGATTAAAAAAAAATCATCACAATTGAGATAGGGCGGGTGGGCGGGGTTCCTATTTTGCCTTTTTTCTTAATATACGTAGTCGTCTTTTCAGAACTAGAAACTTAAAACATGTTTAAAATGGTAAATTCTTGTAGACAAATATGGATCTTGGAATTAAGCCCCGCCCCTCGGTTTGACAACGAATGAAAAATTCATCACAATTGAACAGGGTGGGTGGGTGGGGCTTCTCTTTTGGTTTTCTTTTTTAATTAATACATTTAGTTTTCTTTATGTAACACGATTATTAAAAACATATTTCATATGGTAATTTCTCGTAGAAAAATTAGGATTTTACGAGGCTTACGACGAATGAAAAAAATCATCAGAATTAAGATAGGGCGGGTGGGCGGGGTTTATATTTTCCTTTTTTTTTTTTTTCAATATACGTAGCCATCTTTTCACTACAAAAAACTTAAAATATGGTTAAAATGGTATATTTTTGCAAGGAAATATGGATTTTGCAATTATGGGGCGGATCCTAATTGCAAAATTGATATTTGTTTATACAAATTTTCCATTTTAAACATGTTTTAAGTTTCATGTTGTGAAAAGAAATCTACATATATTAAAACAAAAAGGCAAAATGAAAGCCCGCCCACCCGCCCTATCTCAATTGTGATGATTTTTTTTATTCGCCGCTTACCATGGGGGCGGAGGTTAACTGCAAAATAGTTATTTCTGTACAAGAAATTAAAAACATGGTTTTGAGTATCGGCTTGTTCAGAGAATACTATGTACACTAAGAAAAAAGCCAAAATATTTACCCCAACCACCCACCCGGTCTCAATTGTAATGATTTTTTTATTCCTACAAACTTAAAACACGTTTAGAATGGTACATTTTTGTAAGAAAATACTGATTTTGCAATTAGGCTCCGCCCCTCGGTCTGCCAACAAATGAAAACTGATATGGGTGGGGCTTAATCTTTAGCTTTAATTTTTTCGTAAGATGCATTGTATTTTTTGAATAACACTGTACTCAGAAACCTGTCGTCCAGGGTAATTTCTTGTAGAGAAATAATAACGATTTTGCATTTAAATTCCGTTCCTTTGGCTCTCGACGATTAAAAAAAACATCACAATTGAGACAGGGCGGGTGGGCGGGGCTTCTGTTTTGACTTTTTTCTTAACATACGTAGTCGTCTTTTCAAAACAAGAAACCTAAAACATGCTTAAAATGGTAAATTCTTGCAGACAATCTTTGATCTTGCAATTAAACTCCGCCCCTCGATCTGACAACAAATGAAAAATTCATCACAATTGAGACAGGGTGGGTGGGTGGGGCTTCTCTTTTCGTTTTCTTTTGTAATTAATACATTTAGTTTTCCTTGTACAACACGATTATTAAGAACATATTTCATACGGTAATTTCTCGTAGAAAAGTAAGGATTTTACAACGAGGCTTACGACGATTAAAAAAAATCATCAGAATTGAGATAGGGCGAGTGGGCGGGGCTTATGTTTTCCCTTTTTTTTTCAATATACATAGCAATCTTTTCACTACAAAAAACTTAAAATATGGTTAAAATGGTATATTTTTGCAAGGAAATATTGATTTTGCAATTATGGGGTGGAGCCTAATTGCAAAATTGATATTTGTTTGTACAAATTTTCCATTTTGTACATATTTTAAGTTTCATGTTGTGAAAAGAAGTCTACATATATTAAAACAAAAAGGCAAAATGAAAGCCCGCCCACCCGCCCTATCTCAATTGTGATGATTTTTTTTTATTTGCCGTTCACGACAAAGGCGGAGCTTTACTGGAAAATAGTTATTTCTGTACAAGAAATTAAAAACATGTTTTTGAGTATCGGCTTGTCCAAAGAATACTATGCACACTAAGAAAAAAGCCAAAATATTTACCCCACCCATCCACCCCATCTCAATTGTGATGATTTTTTTCATTCTTAGAAACTTAAAACACGTTTAAACTGGTATATTTTTGTAAGGAAACATGGATTTTGCAATTAAGCTCCGCCCCTCGGTCTGTCAACGAATGAAAACTTCATTATTATTTAGATCAGGGCAGGTATGGGTGGGGCTTAATCTTGGGCTTTAATTTTTTCTATATAATATACATAGTATACTTTGAATAACACGATACTCAAAAACCTGTCGTTCAGGGTAATTTCTTGTAGAGAAATAATAACGATTTTGCATTTAAATTTTGTTCCTTTGGCTGTCGATGATTAAAACATAAAGGCAAAATGTATGCCCGCCCATCCGCCCTATCGCAATTGTGATTATTTTTTTATTCGCCGTTCACCAAGGGGGCGGAGTTTAACTGCAAAATACTTATTTCTTTACACGAAATTAAATTTTGACTATCGAGTTGTTCAAAGAATGTTATGCATACTAAGAAAAAAAGTCAAAATGTAATTCTGCAGTTAAGCTCCGCCCTCTTGACTCACGACGAATAAAAAAAACATCACAATTGAGACAGGGCGGGTGGGCGGGGGTACCCTTTGCCTGTTTTCTCAACTAAATGTGTAGACTTTTTTCGACAACAAGAGGCTTAAAATATGCCTAAAATGGTAAAGTTTTGTAATAATCAACTTGAACTTCAGTTCTAAATTAAAAACATAATCTGAGTGTAATATATATATTTATTGAGAATCTAGAAAATGTCTACGGTATGAAAAAATGGTTCCTGAGATCATGTAATAATAGTAGAACCATCTGAAACAGTACAGTTTATTTTCAAAATGGCATCGCGATTCGCTCTGAGCCTAAATAATTCACTCTCAAGCCTTTTCCACTGTTCTATTAACGAAATAGTGGTTTTTAAAGTATTAATTTGCTTCCTAATTTCTTTCACATTTATTCCATTGATTAAAGTGTCCAGTATTAAATTGTATTCTTTTATCAAGAGCCTCCTTCGTTTAACATCAGCTATATTTCTCTCCTTAGACAAAAAAAAAATAATAATAATAACCAAAAACATCAAAGTTATGTCTACCCTTACATCATCCTTGTTATCGTCAAGCAACTCCCTTTCTTCGTCCGTAAAATTAACTGAATCAAAAAGGTTCCTAAGCTTCTCAAGTTCGTTTCTAAGCATCTCTAAAAGGTTCCTCGATTCATTATTAACGGTTAGACCATATCTACCAGTTTCATTTAACGCTCGTTCATAATTCCTCAACTCTTCGTTCATTTTATTGAGATCGTCTTGTATTTGAGAAATATTTTTTGCAACGTCAGTCGCTCTTTTCGCAAGCTGATCGTTCCACCGGTCCTGTGCCCCTAAAACCAATATAAATGTGCTACTTTCTTGAAAATGTGTTCTCACCTTTTAGCAAGTTCTTCAACGTTTCGCTGTTGTTCTTCAGGTACCTGATACTTTCATTAAATTTGCGCTCTTGTTCTAGAAGGTAGTTATCAACTAAATTAGTTGGAATCTTCAATTCTTCAAACTTATTTTTAGTCTTGATTGTCTCTTGAAACGTGTTGTTCACATCTTTGTTCAGCTTTTCCACTTCTCTAGTCACGTTGTCATAGTTTTTAGAAACGTCGTCGTAATCCTTAATCGCGTTATCAATAATTTTTTTAAATTCTGTGTACTTATCGTTGGCTTGTTGGCACGTTTTAGAAGCATTTTCACCTAATTCTAGTAACCGTTCTAGGTCATTTTGTTGTGTTTTTGCTTCGGTTAAAATGTTTTTGGCCTTAGTTTCATAGTCAGAAATATTCGATAACGTTTCTAGTAGCTGGTTGACAACTTTTTGTTCCTTTGATGTATTTTTTTCTGTTCGGTTTACTCTATTTGAAACCAGTTCTAGTGCGGTTTTAGCACTTTGGATTTTCCTTTTGATATCATCTAGATCTGCGAGATCGTTTTCGAGATTTGGTAAGTCATAAATTGTTGGGATTTCCGCCTGGGAAACAGTGGCGTTGAATCGTTTGATTAAATTCAAGAGATTTTCGTACGAGTTGTTTACAGTTTGATAACATTTATTTGTGCGGCAGTTGGTAGTGTCGGTATCGGCTAAAAATGGTCAAATTTGAATCAAAACAAGTATGGCTGGTGTAAACATACCCAAAACAGACGACACATAAACAATTAGAAGTAGTTTCACACACATTTTCGCTTTGATTAGTTCAAGAACTGTACACACAAAATGTTTTGATATTTGTCTAAAGTTCTAATCTACTGATAAGGTTCGGCGTGGTAAAGAAAGCGGGGACATATCAAAATCGTCTTTATTGTTCCCAATTATGCACAATATTTACAACAATTGAGTATACTTCTCATTTTTCAAGAACACAAAATATGGCAGTAGAGAAAACATACAAATGCCTTTTATACACTAAATAAAAATAAACTTAACTAACTGTGATTGAATCTTTGGTATTAAAAACTATGAAAAAACTACGCTAAGATAATCTAAGAGAGAATAATAAGTATTTAGAAGATTAAGGTTCAAGTTCGACTCGCTTGAAACAGCCATCCGGAAGCGCTTTGGCGATCTGCTCCACATTCTCCACCTCCTTCTGCAGCCGATGGATCTCCGTCTTGTAAAAGTTGATCAAATCCGTCTGCGACTTCTGCTGGTTCTTCAAATCCGCCAGCTTCTCGTCGAGTTTCGCCTCGCTCACCTTCCGTTCGGCTTTCCTCAGCTCCACCTCCAGCTTCTCCAGCTCTTCGTCGTCGATCTGCGGCAAATTCCCCAACTCTGTGAGAATGTTCTGCACGTCTTTCGTCAAATCGCTGACTTTCTTCGATACATCTTCAGTCTCTTTACCAGCGCGTCCCACCTACAACCACCAAATAGAACAAACAACAACAAACACCCAACTCACTTTTTCTTTGGCATGGTTTATCAAAGTCTCGTTAGTTTTGGTTTCTTGTAGCAGCGTCTTCAAGGCACCCCCTGTGGCTTCCACGCGACCCGCCATCAACTCGGCTTCTTCGTTCAGCTTGGTGGCGTTCTGATACAGAAGGTCGGCGTCGTTCTTAAGACCTTCAGCGTTGATTGACGCGTTCTTGGCCAAGCCGCTGGCGTTTTTGGCGTTGACTAGGGCTTGGTCGGCGTTGTATTTGGCTTCTGCGAGCATCTTGTTGGCTTGGAGCGCTTTGTCGGACGCTTCGTCTATAATATCTTGGATGTCGTCGATTTGTTGGAGGGCTTTCTCGGCTTCGGATCTGCTATCTTGGATTTGCTTGTCGAAGTCTGAAAACAAATACAGTTTTTGGGGGTCGCTGAGTGCGTAGGTGCTTACGTGTGAGGATCTTGTAGGTTTCTTTGGTTGAATTTAGGATGTCGTTTCCCATTCGGACTGCAGCTTCTGCTTGAGTTTTGTAGAGGTAAATCTCTTGAAGCAGTTCGTTCGTGTCGTCTTCCTGCGATTTGCCTTTGTCGAGCTGGTCGTGACCCACAAACAGCTGCTCTTCGATTTCGGTAACTAGTTGTTCGTTCTCGGCTATAATTCTGTCGGTTTCGTTTTTCAATCGTTGTGCTTCTAGTCGGATGTTCTTGGCTTTTTCTTTGAGGTGGGGTATGTCGATTTCAGGGATGATTAAGTTGTTGACTTCGTTCAACAAAGCTAGAGCGTCTTTTTTGGTTTCTTTTGCTTTGTCGCTAACCTCCTTGGTCCACTCTTTCGTCCGATTTAGTTTGATTTCCGTGTTTACTAGTTCCGCCCGAATTAATCTTTCTTCTTCACCTACGTTACTCTGCTTCGTGATGGCCTTCCTCGCCGTTTCGTACGCCTCTCGTGATTTATTCTTCGCATCGTTGGCCTTTTCGGTCAATGTATCTGCATCCCGGTCCAACTTATCAGCAATTTCGCGAGCTTCGTGTGCGATCTGGGTCATCCGATCCGACTGCTGTCCCACAATTTGAGCCCTCTTCCACGCACCCTCCAGCGCTTTCTTCCCTTGAATCTCCAAATTCTCAAACGCTTCGTTCAACCTATCTTCCGAATCCTCCAGCAAGATATCCAGATTGTCTATATTTTGTTCAGCAGCTGCTGCTTTATCGTTCGCCAGAAAGACGTTTTCGTCGATTGCCGACAAAGTCCGCGCGATTTCCTTCTCCCGGTTGCGAATATCTTGCACTTGTTGGATTATGCTGTTCTCACCCGTGGCATTCTTAACCTTGTCGTGGAAAACCGTAATGTTGTCTTGGAGTTTCTTGAGTTCGTCTGGAAACTCGTCGTCGTCGATGACGGTAGGTCTGCGTTCAATCTCGTCTAGGATGTCCCCGAGTTTGGCCAGCTTTTCCTGGTGGTGTCTGGAGGCGTCCTGCACTAGGTTGTAGCATTCGGGGCAATCGACGCAGCCGCGCTGTCTGTCGTACTTGTTTTCTTTGCAGCGGTCGCACCGACGCCCTTCGACGTTGTCGAGGCAAGGGCATTGACCGGAAGCGTCGCACTGGAGATCTCTGGAGCCGATTCGGTCGCATTCGCACTCTTTGCAGCCCTCGGAGGAGAAGCCGTACTTGCGGGCTTCGCAATGGTCGCACCTCAAGCTATAACCAAATTACAAGCAGATTTAGCAAAGTTGTTAAAAACTAATCAATTGATAGATTACCCTGTGACTCCTGGCCTGCAGAAGCACTGACCCATGTAGACATTACAAGTCTGATTGAAGGAACCGATGGAATCGCAGTTGCAAGAATGACACCCTTCACCACTCCTTATGTTGTAGTACCCATCTTCACACTGGTCGCAGTTTTTTCCAATAACGTGCGGCTTGCAATGACACGACCCGGTGAACCTATCACACCTAAGAATCCCTCCTTCGTTGGCTTCAGTTCCCACGGGATCACACCGACAAGGTTGACAATCACCCTTGGGGAGCGCCAACGCGTTTCCGTAGTAGCCTGCACCCAACAATTCTTACTAGTCAAGCTTTAACTTAACATCGTATCAACATACCTGGCAAACACTCCTCACACTTCGGTCCCCCGGTATTATGTACACACTTCAAGCACTCCCCAGTCGTCGTATTACAATTCCCGATGGCGTTGGTATCAATGTTCAAATTGCAGTCGCACTGGGTACACGGAACGGGACTCCCAAACCTTCCCGTGGGATCCCCGAAGTACCCATCCGAGCACGAGTCGCACCGGTGTCCCGTGTACCCCAGAGGACACTCCGTGCACATGATGATGTCTTCGTCCACCTGGATGCACGCCCCTCCGTTGGGGCACCCGCAAGGCTGGCAGTCCGTCGGGGTGCCTCCAAGCGCGTTCCCGTAGTACCCCCTAGCGCACAGCTCGCAGTTGTCTCCCGCCGTGTTGTGTCTGCAGATGCATCTGCCCGTCTCCGAGTCGCAGATTTCCGCGTGCTTGTTGCAGTCGCAAGGGACGCAAGGCATGAAGGGCCCGCCGAGCGACGGGGAGTGTCGGAAGCCGGGGGCGCAGGATTCGCAGAACTGGCCCACGTAAGCGGGTGGGCAGCTGCACTGCTCGACCCAGAGGGCGGGAGTGCCGGCGACGAGTCTGCCGGCGGTCTCGAGCTTGACGTCGTCGAGGAAGCCCACGCCCCGGGGGGAGTAGGTGGCGCGGACCTTGATGGAGGTCAGGTTGGTGAGGATGGACATGAAGGCGCGGGCGGAGAGACGGGGCTGCCAGCCGTAGTTGGGGTGCTCGTGGAGGCGGAAGCTGTAGTCTTGGATCTGAGAAGAGCAAAAAAGGTACAATGATAATAATAATAATAATAATAATGAATTTATTTCCAGCCTACAATTAAATATTAATTATGAACTATATAACACAGACATTCACTAAGTAACCGCAATATTAGTTTTCAATTTTCAATATCTTATTTCTGATTCTAGAGTTACCAAAACTGCCATGGAAGATATGGAATATCATGTGAGAAACTTATTTGAATACTAAACATGATGTATATTCCGGGTCATGTGTGTTCGTAATTCATGACTACTTAGTCTATTTTTATTCACAATCAGTCAGTAACATACAGTTTTTCTGACCCCTCAATGGTTAAAAAGTCAGCGATTTCATGAAGACATTTTTCAACGAGTCGGAAAAGCCCGAAAGAAATGACCCACTTTCCGACCTGTGGAGACGCCACTGTCGATTTGAACTATAAATGTCAAATGAAAGTAAGTTTAATGCAATGGCGACGTCACAAGTTTTGGTGGGGATTGTCGCAAATTTTTCGAAAAGTAGTGATAGTGATAGTGATAATGATAATGAAGAGCAAAGTAGTGGGAAAGCCGTTTAGCATCCGGCAGATTTTCGAGAGAATACAAGAAAACAATAAGTTGTACGTCGCTTTACAATTTTATGCCACAGCAGGTAAGAAATTTATTAGTATTAATTTTTATGCGAATTCCTGCAATTCTGGAGGAGTAAACTTTATTTCACTCCTATTCGCTTCGGCAATCTTCTGCAGCGCCCCCTGATGATGTTCCTCAGCTTCAAATGTTGTGCAAATGCTTCCTTGGGCCCCCAAAAAATGTTAAATTTCGCATTCGTGCGCTGTTTAATACCAAATGGTGCTAACATAACCTAACTTTTTATTGTCCCCAACGAACGCAGGGATAATATCGGGGGTTTTTAATGTTCACGGGGGCGCTTTGCTGTAAGCATATTCGTAAACGTGGAACTTCTCACTCCGTGGATCATTTTTAGTTACTGGAATTTGTGAGTGAAATGCGTGTATATTTGGTTGCCTATATTCGGTACAACTAATGGGGTGCGAGCACTAAATATTTTTTTCCGTTACAAGGAGGTATTTGTAAAATATTTGAAGGTGAGGAACGTGATCGGGGGTGCTGTACAAGAGTTTTTTTTTTTTTTTAAACTGAGAAAATGCAAATTTGGTTACAAATTTTTATAACCAATTTAATAAACTGTCAATCGTGCAGCGCCTACTAACTGTTATGTTTTACCGAAATAAACCATATGTGTTATTAATTATTTATTATGGAGGTAAGTTTTTATTATTGTATTGTTGTTTGTATTATTAAATGATTGGAAATGAAATAGTATATTATAAACCTCGCCAAAAGTACCATTCCTGTTTCGAGAACTAGTTCAGGAATAAAATACTTTCCGCCTCGGTATGTGATATACTATTGTTGTGTTAACTTGGATTATTTAATGCTATGAAATGCGTACAGATTCGATATTTTCGCACCTATGAGATATTCGTTTATCTCTGCTATGTTGAAATCCCCACATAGAATCACGGGAGAAAAAAAATCAATGAAATTTTCTATCAAATCGAAAATTAAAGTATATTCATCAATGCCAGAAGAGGCTGGAATATAAATAGCTACCACAGTGAGATTATTATTTCCAGAAATTTTAACGGTTAGACGTTCAACAGATTGGATAGGGGCACCAACACCAAGTTCTTTTGCAGAGAAATGATTTTTTAAACCAACTAATTAATATTTCTCGGGTGCGATTTTGTTTCTCGATCGAAGTGATAAATTATCACTTGCGATAAATGTCATTGCGTAGCTTTTAAATGCAAAAGTTTGAACTTATAACTCAGAATTACGATTTTGAACTTCTATTTTGGCATAACTTTCGAGGTTATGTCTCCAAAATTTATCACTTCACTCAGAGCTATCGAGAAAATATCACTCCATGAAGACTTGATTTCGTGACAGAATCGAGAAATGTGACAGAAATGTAGCATCTCAACCAATCAGCAAACGAGATTTTATCGCCATCGACTTTTTTTTCTATCGAGAAACAAAATCGCACCCCTCGTCCCCAGCCTGTATTCCTATCAGTGCGGAAAATATTGAAATATTCCAGAAATAATTCACTTCACAGTACTCGATATTAACCAAGTTTCACTTAAAACAACAATGTCGATGTATATACTACAGTAATTCATATAGCATTCATTAATTTTCGTGTTGAAATCGCATACATTTTGATACACAATATTACAATTTAAAGATGAGGTTGGCTGCTCGTTTTTTACTTCCATTATTCGTGGGATCCCGCTGTTATATTTTAAACGAATATCCTTTTCTCCATTATCGCGACGCCGTTTAAATTCTTTATGAACTGCATTCAGCCATTTCCTGTTGAAATCGAGTCGAGTCTAAATTCAAGAAAATATATAGACCTATTAAATTGGGGACGTACTAATGTTTGAACCATATCTGAATTGTTGAACACAACTTTAATCATCCGAGAGCGAGCAGATCTAGCTTGCCCTAGTCGAGTCAGGGGTCCCAACTGTCTTTTCTAAAAATGTAAAACCTTCTCGGGGGCGCCAAATGTCTTTTTTTAATGTGAAACCTTCTCAGGGGTGCCAAATGTTTTTTTTATGTGATGTTTAAAATTTTTAATTTTTACTTATTGGTTCTGATTCTGATTTAAATCAATTTGAGTTTCACTGGATCGCACAAGTCGACAACGTCTCCACTACAAATTGCTAAGATAAGACTGATTTTGGCAAATCACTTACTCTCGAAGAGAATAAAGGGTGGGTGGGCGGGGCTAGTATTTGCTAAGATAAGACTGAAATTTCCAAATAACATACCCTCTAAGAAAATAAAGGATAGATGGGCGGGGTTAGTACTTCCCAAGATAAGACTGATTTTGTCAAATTACCCACTTCCTACGAAAATAACAGGCGAGCATGGCTAGTACCTGTTCACATAAGATTGATTTCGCCCAATAATAAGTATTATTAATTTGGTATTAGGCGAAAATGAAATTACATATATTATAGTGGTCACCAGAAGTAGAAAGATTGTTACAGAAGTTAAACGTTTTTGTTCGAAGACCTGTACCATGAACGTATTTTATGAAAAGACTTCTTCTGTGTTCTATAGTTTTCGTTTAATGTGATCTTTCAACTGATTGTAGTTTACCAAGTACAGACCCCATCCACTCGCCCTTTCTTTTCTTAGAAAGTACGTCCTTTGCCAAAATTAGTTTTATTTTCACAAGTACTAGAGCCGCCCACCCACCCTTTATTTTCTTGTAGAGTAAGTGATTTGCCAAAATCAGTATTATCTAGGCAAGTACTAGCCCCGCCCACCCACCCTTTATTTTCTTAGAGAGAAGGTGATTTGCCAAAATCAGTCTTATTTTGGCAAGTACTAGCCCCGCCCACCCACCCTTTATTTTCTTAGGGAGTAGGTTCATTGCCAAAATCAGTCTTATCTTGGCAAAATTAAAATAAAAAATTTCGCATAGTAAAACTTGGTAGAATTTCATATGCTGTATTTTCCGGCGTAATGGACGTAAAGATAGCAACAAATAATAAAAATGTAAAACCTTGTCGGAGGCCTCAAATGGTTTTTTTTTAGAATGTGAAATCTCGGGAGTCTCAATTATCTTTTTTAAAAATGTAAAACCTTCCCCGGGGCCCCAAATGTCTTTTTTTTTTTTTAGAATGTGAAACCTTCTCGGGGTTCCTAATTGTCTTTGTAAAAATGTAAACGCTTCTCGGGAGCCCCAAATGTCTTTTTTGAATGTAAAACCTTCTCGGGGGTCCCACGTGTCTTTTTTTAAAATGTAAAACCTTGTCGGGGGCGCCAAATGTTTTTTTTTAATGTAATGTTTAAAATTTTTGACGTTTAAATTGTTGAGTCTGATAAAGAGACGTCGTACAACATTGAAGGTAACTCTCGATTGAAATCAATTTGAGTTTCACTGGATCGCACAAGTCTACAACGTCTTTACTACAAATTGCTAAGATAAGGCTGATTTTTGCAAAGGAACTATTCTGTAATTAAAATAAAGGGCGGGTGGGCGGGGCAAGTACATACCAAGATATGACAGATTTTGGCAAATGACCTACTCTAAGAAAGTAAAGGGTGGGTGGGCGGGGCTAGTACTTCCCAAGATAAGACTGATTTAAATTACCTACTCTCTAAGAAAATAAGAGGCGAGTGGGCATGGCTAGTACCTGTTAAGATAAGATTGATTTCGCCCAATAATAAGTATTATTAATTTGGTATTAGGCGAAAATGAAATTATATTATAGTTATCACCAGAAGTACAAAGATTGTTACAGAAGTTAAGCGTTTTTATTCGAAGACCCCTACCATGAACATATTTTATGAAAAGACTTCGTCTGTGTTGCATAGTTTTCGTTTAATTTGATCTTTCAACTGATTATAGTTTAGCAAGTAATGACGCCATCCACTCGCCCTTTGTTTTCTTAGAAAGTACGTCCTTTGCCAAAATCAGTTTTATTTTTAAAAGTAGTAGCCCCGCCCACCCACCCTTTATTTTCTTAGAGAGTAGGTGATTTGCCAAAATCAGTCTTATCTTGGCAAGTACTAGCCCCACCCACCCACCCTTTATTTTCTTGGAAAATAGTTCCTTTGCCAAAATCAGTTTTATCTTGGCAAAATCAAAATAATAAAAAAAAATCGTGTAATAAACCTGGGTAGAATTTGATATGCTGTATTTTCCGACGTAGTGGATGTAAAGATGGCAACAAATAATACAAATGTAAAACCTTGTTGGAAGCCTCAAATGGTTTTTTTAAGAATGTGAAATCTCGGGAGTCTCAATTATCTTTTTTTAAAAATGTAAAACCTTCCCCGGGGCGCCAAATGTTTTTTTTTCAGAATATGAAACCTCGGGGGTCCAAACTTTCTTTGTGAAAAATATAAAACCTTCCCAGGAGCCCCAAATGTTTTTTTAATGTGATGTTTAAAATTTTTAACTTTTAACTTATCGAGTCTGATAAAAGAAATCGTACTAACATTGAAGGTAACTCTCGATTGAAATCAATTTGAGTTTCACTGGATCCCACAAGTCGACAACATCTTTACTACAAATTGCTAAGATAAGACTGATTTTGGCAAAGGAACTGCTCTGTAAGAAAATAAAGGGCGGGTGGGCGGGGCAAGTACTTGCCAAGATAAGACTGATTTTGGCAAATGACATACTCTGCAAGAAAGTAAAGGGTGGGTGGGCGGGGCTAGTACTTGTGAAAATAAAACTGATTTTGGCAAAGGACCCCGCCCACCCGCTCTTTATTTTCCTAGAGAGTAGGTCCTTTGCCAAAATCAATTTAATCTTCGCAAGTACTAACCCCATCCACTCGCCCTTAGTTTTCTTAGAAAGTACGTCCTTTGCCAAAATCAGTTTTATTTTCACAAGCACTAGCCCCGCCCACCCACCCTTTATTTTCTTAGAGAGTAGGTGATTTGCCAAAATCAGTCTTATCTTGGCAAGTACTAGCCCCGCCCACCCACCCTTTACTTTCTTAGAGAGTAGGTTCTTTGCCAAAATTATTCTTATCTTGACAAAATTAAAATAATAAAAAATTTCGCATAGTAATACTAGATAGAATTTGATATGCTGTAATTTTCGGCGTAATGGACGTAAAGATGGCAACACATAATAAAAATGTAAAACCTTGTCGGAGGCCTCAAATGTTTTTTTTTAGAATGTTAAATCTCGGGGGTCTCAATTATCTTTTTTAAAAATGTAAAACCTTCTCCGGGGCGCCAAATGGTTTTTTTTAGAATGTGAAACCTTCTCGGGGGTCCCAACTTTCTTTGTGAAAAATGCAAAACCTTTTCGGGGTTCCTAATTGTCTTTTGTAAAAATGTAAAACCTTCTCGGAAGTCCCAAATGTTGTTTTTTAATGTTTAAATTTTTTAACTTTTAACTTACCGAGTCTGATAAAAGAAATCGTACTAACATTGAAGGTAACCCTCGATTGAAATCAATTTGAGTTTCACTGGATCGCACAAGTCGACAACCTCTTTACTACAAATTACTAAGATAAGACGGATTTTGGCAAAAGAACTACTCTGTAAGAAAATAAAGGGCGGGTGGGCGGGGCAAGTACTTGCCAAGATACGACTGACTTTGGCAAATGACCTACTCTCTAAGAAAGTAAAGGGTGGGTGGGGGGGGTAGTACTTGTGAAAATAAAACTGATTTTGGCAAAGGACCCCGCCCACCCGCCCTTTATTTTCCTAGAGAGTAGGTCCTTTGCCAAAATCAGTTTAATCTTCGCAAGTTCTAGCCCCGCCCACCCGCCCTTTATTTTCCTAGAGAGTAGGTTCTTTGCCAAAATCAGTCTTATTTTGGCAAAAAAAATCATAAAAAATTTCGTGTAATACACCTGGGTTGAATTTGATATGCTGTATTTTCGGATGTAATGTACGTAAAGATGGCAACAAATAATAATAAAAATGTAAAATCTTCTCAGGGGCGCCAAATGTCTTTTTTTTAATGTGAAATTTTCTCGGGTGTCGCAACTGTCTTATTTATAAAACCTTTTCGGGAGTCCGAATTGTCTTTTATTTTAATATAAAATCTTCTCGGGGCCCCAAATGTCTTTTTTTAAATGTGAAACCTGCTCGGGGTCCTAAATGTCTTTTTTTAATGTGAAACCTTCTCGGGGGTCCCAACTGAGTTATTTATAAATGTAAACCTTCTCAGGGGCGCCAAATGTCTTTTTTTAAATGTGAAACCTTCTCGGGGGTCCCAACTGTCTAATTTATAAATGTAAAACCTTCTCAGGGGCGCCAACTGTCTTTTTTTTAATATGAAACCTTCTCGGGTGCCCCAACTGTTTTTTTTTTATGTGAAACCTTCTCGGGGATCCCAATTGTCTTTTATTTTAATGTAAAACCTTCTCGGGGCCCCAAATGTCTTTTTTTAAATGTGAAACCTGCTCGGGGTCCTAACTGTCTTTTTTTAATGTGAAACCTTCTCGGGGGTCCCAACTGAGTTATTTATAAATATAAACCTTCTCAGGGGCGCCAAATGTCTTTTTTTAAATGTGAAACCTTCTCGGGGGTCCCAACTGTCTAATTTATAAATGTAAAACCTTCTCAGGGGCGTCAAATGTCTTTTTTTTAATGTGAAACCTCGGGTGTCCCAACTGTCTTTTTTATAAAACTTTTTCGGGGGTCCCAATTGTCTTTTATTTTAATATAAAACCTTCTCGGGGCCCCAAATGTCTTTTTTTAAACGTGAAACCTGCTCAAGGTCCCAACTGTCTTTTTAATGTGAAATCTTCTCGGGGGATCCAACTGTCTTATTTATATGTAAAGCCTTCTCAGGGGCGCCAACTGTCTTTTTTTTAATGTGAAACCTTCTCGGGTGCCCAAACTGTTTTTTTTTATGTGAAACCTTCTCGGGGATCCCAATTGTCTTTTATTTTAATGTAAAACCTTCTCGGGGCCCCAAATGTCTTTTTTTAAATGTGAAACCTGCTAGGGATTCCTAACTGTCTTTTTTTAATGTGAAACCTTCTTGGGGGTCCCAACTGTCTTATTTATAAATGTAAAACCTTCTCAGGGGCGCCAAATGTCTTTTTTTTAATGTGAAACCTTCTCGGGGGTTCCAGCTGTCTTATTTATAAATGGAACACCTTCTCAGGGGCGCCAAATGTCTCTTTTTTAATGTGAAATTTTCTCGGGCGTCGCAACTGTCTTATTTATAAAACCTTCTCGGGCGTCCCAATTGTCTTTTGTTTTAATATAAAACCTTCTCGGGGCCCCAAATGTCTTTTTTTTAATGTGAAACCTTCTCGGGGGTCCCAACTGACTTATTTATAAATGTAAAACCTTCTCAGGGGCGCCAAATGTCTTTTTTTTAATGTGAAACCTTCTCGGGGGTCCCAACTGTCTAATTTATAAATGTAAAACCTTGTCAGGGGCGCCAAATGTCTTTTTTTTAATGTGAAACCTTCTCGGGTGTCCAACTGTCTTATTTATAAAACCTTCTCGGGGGTCCCAATTGTCTTTTATTTTAATATAAAACCGTCTCGGGGCCCCAAATGTCTTTTTTTAAACGTGAAACCTGCTCGGGGTTCCCAACTGTCTTTTTAATGTGAAATCTTCTCGGGGGTCCCAACTGTCTTATTTATATGTAAAACCTGCTCAGGGGCACCAAATGTCTTTTTTTTAATGTGAAATCTTCTCGGGTGCCCCAACTGTCTTTTTGAAAAACCTTTTCGAGTCCTTTTATTATGTAAAACCTTCTCGGGGGTCCCAATTGGGTTTTTAAAAATGTAAAACCTTCTGGGGGGACCCAAGTGTCGTCTTTTAAGAATATTGAATCTTCACGGGCCTCCTAACTGTCTTTTCTTGAGAAGGTGAAACTTTTTTTTTCGATTACACTGTGACTTCTATATTGTTTGTACTCCATAGAAGTTATCACGAAAAAGAAAAATTCCGCAAAATCAAATTTTATAATTTTTGAAATACAGCAGAGCATCGTGCAAAAAGACTGGATAAGGGTATGATGAAAAATTCTTACCACATTACTGGGAATTTTGTTCTGTTGGGCAAAGATGGTGTTAGTGACCGAAACGCCGCCCCCTTCCAAGATAATGTCTGTGGCGGTGGGGATCGGCCTATCGTAGTCCCCGATCCTTAGCCTGAACTGCAACAAATGGTTATAGGAAGCCCTCTGGTCCCCTAGGTAGCGCTCCGGTGCCAAAAAGTACACCGCTTCTTCCCCAGGTGCCGTAACCCCGATGCTGTGCGACAAGGGCACGTGCTCCACGTCCACACTCCTCCGGTACTCATCTTCAGCCCTCCACCTCTCCGAGTTCTTGGAGAAGACCGACTCGGTCTGCAGCTTCGAGTACCCTCTTGCCGGCATACACTCCGACGCGTGTCCGTAGCAGAAGCACGGCGTGCACCCGAATTCATTCTCCAGGTCTAGATTGAAGAACCCAGGCTTGCACTCCCTGCACCTTTTGCCCTCCACGTTCTCTTTGCAGTAGCACGTCCCGGTGTAGGGATCACAGTTGGGGTTGTTGTCCGCCGAACCTAAAACCTCGTGAGTAGGACTGCCTTTCGGGATGGATTAAGTACCTTGTTCCAGGCAGCCGCAGCTCTTGCAGCCCGCCACCGAGAAGTCGTAGTGATTGACGTTGCAGCGGTCGCACTTGTCCCCGGTCACCCCGGGCTTGCACTGGCACTTCCCCTCCGAGTTGCACTGGAGACTCCTGGAGCCGACCTCGTTGCATTCGCAGGCGATGCAGTAGCCGTCTTCGCGCATGTAGTACTTTTCGCGGCAGCGCTCGCAGTTGGGGCCGTCGCGGTTGGCGGTGCAGTCCAAGCAGTGGCCTCCGTGGCCGGTCAGTCGGTAGAGTTCTTCGTCATAATAGCATCTATTAGAGAACCCGTTGCAGTTGCATTCTGGAAATAAATCAAAGCCGTGAGCTTGGCAATAACTCGAGGAATTTGTTGGGCAAGAACGAGGTGGTACTGATACGGGATGGCTGAGTTAATGGGAAATAGTTCGAGATTAAGTTAAATGGTTGGTATAAATTTCACTGTGTGCACATAATATCGGATAATAATTCAAAATTTGCATAATGGTACGGCTTTTCGAAAAAGGATGTCCTTTTAAGAGTGGAGAGGCTGGAACTAAACAATGAAAATGGCTATAATCCGAGGCGAAGCCGAGGTTTTCTAGGAATTTGTGACCACAAAGTAAAGGTTGCGTGCGGTTGTTTAATTACCTCTAAAAAAGGAAACAATTGCTAGTGAGTTCCAGGTACCATTTAATTCAGTGCGATAAAAGTGTCTTTGATACATGTGGTACTTTGGCACCTATTACTAAAGCACCGATTACCGATTTTGTCACACTTTGATGCAAAAGAAGGAAAAAAGCGCCGTTGAGATCGCTTATCTAAACTTTATATCCATATTAAAACCAGTTGTCTGCCCGCGGCCCCAGCGTAGACTCCAAGTCTAAGTTTGTTTACCTTTTCCTTTCGATATGAGTTAGATTAAAGACCGGTGCCCCTCTGCCCCAGTTTTGGGGCACCTTGCCATAATGGAGCAATTGGGCATAATCGTCGCAGATAACATGTCTGGGTTAATAAATGGGCGTTCTGGGGGCCTTTCGTGTAATGTTTATGACGAAGTTCGAGACAGGTACACGCTCTATGTCTTGGCGGAATTGAAACATTACTGCGTGGGCCACACAGTCGTGGGAGCGGCTCCAGACGTGATGGGCCATCCTGGGTCCGCCCAGCGTACGTATCTAATAAGCGCTTAACCCATTAACTCACATTAATAATCTATACACGAGATAAAGTCGAGGCGAACAAACTTTTGCTTTAACGTCGACTCTTCACAGAGATTCGGTGGAGATATCGAGCCAAAGAAGGAAATAGAGCGGTTGTAAAATCGGAACCAAAACGGCGTGTCTGCGCTAATTATACAGATGTATACATAAATATATCAGTGTATCTGTGTATTAAAGCCAGTAACAGGTCATCACGCTGCGAGTCTTCGGGAAACCGTTCGTATAAAAAAGGTATCGTGCTGTGCTCATTTATAACGAGACCTTCTCAAGACAAAATGTTGCCTGGGATGGTAAGGTAACGAAACCGTGGCTACAAATCTCGGAGCATGTGTGGATATCGAGATCATCGCCGCCGATACTGGAGCATAGTGCATAGTGCATCTTTTGGGTTGCATATTTCTTTGATGAAACAATGGAATGAATATGGCGAGGACGTGAGAGAATAGGTTTGTGAGGGGGAAACGAGCACCTAACCTCACTTTCGCTAACGTAGGACACCGTGGGATCAAGAACAGATGAAATCGAGTTGTTATTTAGTTCTCAAGAAATGTTTTGTTAGAACATGAAGTCACGTCAAAAATTATCTATAGTGTAACTATTGTGGACGGGCTTCTCAGTGCGATCGTTGATCTTTCAAGTGGAATCAGCAGTTAGCAATTTGAATTCCATAAGATGTTTAAAGGCGGTTGTTCGTGGTTTTAAAAAGAATCTTCAGTTCATAAATGAAAACGGAAAATAAGACAAATTAGTTAGATAATGTTTGATTTTGGAATAAAATTCGCTTTCCTCATCTCGTAAATTTGATAACAAGACTATAAAGTCGTTTCATTTTGCATTTATATAAAATTTGAAACTTTTAATAAAAAAAAGTGGCGTAAGCGGGAGAAGTAATGGTTGCTAACACAATCATTCTTGGCTCAGGTCAAGTCAGGTTAGGTCAGGTTAGGCCAGGTTTGGACTTTATTTTTTCGATAGAATGGCCTTTCTTGCTCCCTTTTCTAATTCGAATCTCCTGAACAAAAATCCAAGCTCAAAACTGTGAAAACCGAAACTCGAAATATAATGTCGCTCCGGAATTTGGCCTGTCAAATTTGAAGTTTGGTTTTTGAATAAATAGGCTTAGTGGTGCGAGAATAGTCTATAAACTGAATTTCAATTAGATCGGATTTTTTTCAGTTCATTTTTTTGAAAGTATCCATGCTATCGCCAATCAAGCTATCTCTCTCAAACGAACCCCGATTTGTCCGAAAATTGTTCTCTTTACTAATTCGAACTTTCTGAACAAGAATCAGGGCTCAAAAGTAGTCTTCGGACTGTCCTAATTTTTTAAAATTTTCTAACCATCGACACTACCGAAAAATGGAACCGTCCCATATGAATTTAACCATGAATTCGAAATGGACACAGGTTTCGACCTGAAAATTAATCAAGTTGATTATAAATCTTCTGAACATCGAGTTGTGAAAACTCAAATCCGAAATCTGATGTTGTCCCAAACTTATGGGTCGTCAAATTTAAAATTTGGTTTTTGGGTATGGATTGAAGAAGGATTTCGTTTAAAATAATGAAAATATTCAACAACTGATGCCAGAAGACTAGTGTAGAAACTGAATTTCACTTAGATTCTAAGATTTTTTTTGACTTGATTTTTTCGAAAATATCCTGTCGCCAAATATTTTGGTTCAAAAGTAGTCTTTGGGTAGTTCCGATTTTTTTAAAAAATTTTTAACAATCTATACTCCCGAAAAATGACACTGCCATATATTCCACTGTTAATTCGAAACGGACGTAGATTCTGGTTTGAAAATTAGCCAAGTTAACTACGAATCTTCAACGTACCGAGTATTGGCAACCAAAACACCAAATCCGATGTCGTCACAGACTTATGGACCGTCAAACTTAAAATTTGTTTTTTGAGTATGAATTAAAGAAGGGTTTCGTTTAAAATAATGAACATATTCAACAACAAAAAATCAGAAAATGATTTTTTTTATTTAATATTTTCAAAACTATCCATATTTTGGATTTACATCATATCAAGCTATCTCGCTTACACAGACCCATATTTGCATGAAAATGATCCTTTTTATTAATTCAAACCTCCTGAACAAGAATCCGGGCTCAAAATTATTCTTTGCGCCGTTCCAATTTTTTTAAAATTTTATTAACAATCGATCCTCCCGAAAAATGACATCATATCATATATTTCACCGTCAATTCAAAACGGATGTAGATTCCGGTTTGAAGTTTAGCCAAGTTGAGTACGAATCTTCAAAATACTGAGTAGTGGCAACCGAAATCCTAAATCTGATGTCGTTCCGGACTTATGGACCGTCAAATTTAAATTTTGGTTTTTGAGTATGGATTAAAGAGGGATTTCGTTTAAAATAATGAAAATATTCAACAACTGATTCTAGAAATGAATTGAGCGGTGCAAAATTAGTCTAGAAACCGAATTTCAGTTAGATCGGAAAATTATAATTTTTTTTCTGAATTTTTTCAAAAGTATCCATATTTTGGATTTATATCATATCAAGCTATCTCGCTTACGCAGCCCCAGATTTGTGTCAAAGTTAGACTCGTTACTAATTCGAACCTCCTGAACAAAAACTAGACTCAAAAATATTCTTTGAACAGTTCCAATTTTTTTTTTATTTTTTAACAATCGCTTCTTCCGAAAAATGACACCATACCATATTTTTCACCGCTAATTCAAAACGGACGTAGATTTCGGCCTGAAAATTAATCAAGTTGAGTACAAATCTTCAAGATAGCGAGTAGTGGTAACCGAAACCTGAAATCTAATGCCGTTTCGGACTTATGGGCCGTCAAATTTAAAATTTGGTCTTTGAGAATAGATCAAAGAGGGATTTCGTTTAAAATAATGAAAATATTCAACAACTGATTCTAGAAATGAATTGAGCGGTGCAAAATTAGTCTAGAAACCGAATTTCAGTTAGATCGGAAAATTATAATTTTTTTTCTGAATTTTTTCAAAAGTATCCATATTTTGGATTTATATCATATCAAGCTATCTCGCTTACGCAGCCCCAGATTTGTGTCAAAGTTAGACTCGTTACTAATTCGAACCTCCTGAACAAAAACTAGACTCAAAAATATTCTTTGAACAGTTCCAATTTTTTTTTTATTTTTTAACAATCGCTTCTTCCGAAAAATGACACCATACCATATTTTTCACCGCTAATTCAAAACGGACGTAGATTTCGGCCTGAAAATTAATCAAGTTGAGTACAAATCTTCAAGATAGCGAGTAGTGGTAACCGAAACCTGAAATCTAATGCCGTTTCGGACTTATGGGCCGTCAAATTTAAAATTTGGTCTTTGAGAATAGATCAAAGAGGGATTTCGTTTAAAATAATGAAAATATTCAACAATTGATGCTAGAAATGAACTGAGCGGTGGAAAATTAGTTTAGAAACCGATTTTCAGTTAGATCAGAAAATTATTTTTTTTTATTTAATTTTTTCAAAAGTATCCATATTTTGGATTTACATCATATCAAGCTATCTCGCTTACACAGATCCATATTTGCATGAAAATTATACTTTTTATTAATTCGAACCTCCTGAATAAGAATCCGGATTCAAAATTATTCTTTGAGTAATTACAATTTTTTTAAAATTTTATTAACAATCGAACGTCCCGAAAAATGATGTTATACCATATATTTCACCGTCAATTCAAAACGGATGTAGATTCCAACTTGAAGATTAGCCAAGTTGAGTACCAATGTTAAAAGTACTGAGCAGTGGCAACCAAAACCCGAAATATGACGTCGTTCCGGACTTATGGACCGTTAAATTTTGGTTTTTGAGTATGGATTAAAGAGGAATTTCGTTTAAAATAATGAAAATGTTCAACAACTGATGCTAGAAATGAACTGAGCGTTGCCAAATTAGTCTAGGAACCGAATTTCAGTTAGATCGGAAAATGTTTTTTTTATTCATTTTTTTTTTAAATATCCATATTTTGAATTTATATCATATCAAGTTATCTCGCTTACGCAGACCTATATTTGTATGAAAATTATCCTCTTTACTAATTCGGACCTCCTGAACAAGTATTCGGACTCAAAAGTAGT